TTTTTTTTCTTTCTATTTTTGGCATATTAAGGTAATTTCTTTTTAATATTACCTCGAGCTTTAGAAACATAGAAATTTCCATCAATAAACTATAATGTAGATTTTAATTCCATGCTTTTTTAATCAAAAGGTAGAATTTTAATTAACATTTGCTTTTTTTTCTTTTTGAAAAAAAAATCATGTTTATTTACTTTTTAAAGCTATGCAAGTCTATATTAAGACAGCATTAAATATTTACTTTAATCTGTACTTTCAATCTTAAGAATCAAAAGATTTTTAAACATGTAATTTCAAATGTGTTTAACACACACCAAGAAAGAAAGTAATTTCGTTAACTAAAATTAATTAATGCAGCAATTTATTTAAAATAAATTTTAATACTAAGAAAAGAAAATAATAAAAGTATCAATATTTAAAGCACTGCTTCTTAACTTTTAAAATCAATATTATATATATATATATATAAATTAGTTGATTTAAATCAATGATTTCTTTAAAAAAATCATTTGATTTTAATCATGATTTAAATCAAGCTGATTTAAATCAACAAACCCTGCTTTTTTCAACAAAAAAAGTAATTATTGAGTTATTTATAAGAAACAATCAGTATTACCATTATCATATATACCATAATACATGACTTTTACAGTGAAAAATAAACAATAAAAATATTACATACTAATTGAATGAAGATTTAATTTAAAGGATTCATGTTATTCAGCATCGTAATATGCAATTCAGAATTAGCAATTAATTATAATAGCATTCATTTTTTAAAAATAAGCACAAAAGGCTTACTAATATTTGAGAATTTTTACAATTCATTTAAAAAGCTTGTAGTTTACTTATTTCAAATCAAATAAAAGAGACGAAACAAAAAATTTTCACAAATAGTTCAGTACTGCAATATATCACTCATAATAGGATAAAATTTTTTAATTCAATTTTATGAAGTTTTGTGAAAAAAAAATTTTTATATAAGAACTAGTGTTTTGTAAAATCAGTATTTAATTAATAGTATATTAAAATATAAAGATACATCTTAATAATAACATGATAGAGCACTTACTTAAATCTGGGAATTTTTACACGATCTACATTTTGACCTTTATCTGAAGTTCCAACAGTGACATCATACCCTTCTGCATACGGACTTTCTGAAAATATTGCATTGAAACTTTTTGCGAGACGTACGCTGTAACCCCAGTAAATGTTGTCATTCTTAAGAGGTGCAGTGGGAGAAACAGCTTTACCTTTAAAATGCTTCTTTGCTGCAAAAGAAGAATTGGAAAAAGAATTTAAAAAACTATTATTTTATTAAACTTTAGCAGTTTCTGACTTAAAAACAAAATGCTTTTAAGAATATTTAACTAATAATAAAATTTTTCATTGATAAAGCACTTAATATATTATTTTTCATTGAATTTTTCATTGATAAAGCACTAATATATTATTAACATATTTTTATCTTAGATTTGTAGATCATAAATAAATCTAAGAGATAAATACGCTAAATTTTTAAAACATTAAAATATTTTTAGTATACAAAACCAGGCCTGACAACTACTACACGTTTTGCAAAATATTTTGTAGAGAGACAGATATTTAAAAACCAAAGCTTTCAGAATTTTTGGTAATGTTGCCAACAGCCATTTTTTTAAAATAAAATTTCCAACATAGTTGGCAGGGTTTTGATTTGTGACACTTTTCAATAGATAATAATGATCATGGTAGAAGAATTAATGTGGCACAATGGCGGGCATTACAGATCTATATCTGTCTAGCAAGCAAAAATTAATAAATAAAAATATCTAATGATGGGGCTCTGAGGATGTGCCTTTTAATTTTCCAATTATGTTGCAAATCAAAGCAGAATATTCTCCAAGAGATCATGTTTAAAAGAAGAATAAAAAAAGAAAGAAACAGTTATAACAAAAAATAGATGCAATGTTACATTTAATAAAAGAAATATTTAAAATTAATCTAGTTAAGATTTTACGGTTTTACATTATTCGGAAGAGAAATGATATTTTTTTTAAACACTCATGCCTTATCTCACTCAGATATTAACAATGTTGACAGTAATTTAATGTGTAACAATTTTGAACAGTTCTAATCAAAGATTTAAAAAAATAAATAAAATAAGAGACAATACCCCAAAAAATACTATATTAGATATACATAGAAAAATATGCACAATCTATTTAAGTTAAGCTTTGATGGTCCCACTTTATAAGGAGTATGGAAGATTTAGAGACATATGATCTCATTATAATTTAAAAATTATTGAAACAGTACAGTGATGTAAATTTGCTTACATATTTAAAGATAACGAAGAGTTGCCAGTCACATATATTTTTACCCCTGTATAGCAATTAATTATGAAAACAAAACTTTTTCCTTATTAAAAATTACTGAAAATACTATTAGTGTTAAATACTATTTTTAAATAATATTAAGGTTATCAAGTTTTTGACAAGCATCTAATTTTGACTATTTTAACCACTGATTAAAAAATAAAAACACTATCCAAAAAGATACTAAATTAGATTTACATCGAAAAATATGCACAATTTATTTAACTTAAGTTTTGATGGTCCAACACTATAAGGAAATAGAATTAACTGCCTTAACCTGACTCTTTTAAACCACAAGAATGCTTTTGTTACAGGTTTATATAAAATTCTAACAGTCTTATTGGTGATTAATCTGTAAGCCAGATTCTTACAATTCAGTTTTGGCTTTATTCTTAGCAGTATTATTTCTTGATATCTCACCAATAACCGATATCTTGCCATGCCAATAAGTGTCAGTTTGGAACAACACATACACTTGGATAAAACTGTTGGCGTTAGGTCTCATGCCCCATTGTCCAACCATTAGAAATAATACAAAATTTATATAAAATGAATACTCGGAATTGTCTTCCCCTATTTCAAAGGAATTTCCTAATGACGTACTAAAAAAGATTTTGTGAGTTCATGACTGTCACCATTTTTATTATCTTTTAGTACAGTAGGGAACCGATTATCCGGAACGATCAGGACCATCGCTATTCCGGATAACTGATTTTTCCGGTTTTCTGAATCGCAACAAAAAGCCGTTTTTTTTTATTCTCAAAATCAACTAAAAAAATATATATTTGGAAATAATCTTAAATAGAAGAAAAAAGGATGAAGTAACACACTAATGATTGTTTCCAAAATGATGGTAAGGTAAACATCTTTCAAAAAAGAAAGAAAAATCTTGAAATCTTATGAGGAAAAAAAAATTTTTTTTTTTTTTTAAAAAATGGCGGAAAATGTATCGAATTTCGTTTAGGTTTTTTGGTTTTCTGTTTTCCGGATAACGGGTTCTTTACTGTATCTGCAAACAATCTGTCAAATATTAAAATGATTTCTTTATATTTTAATCACCTCTCATTTACTTTACAAAATTTAATACAAAAGCAATGTAAGGAATCACAATACACTATCTGGCATCATAGGGAATATAGAGGATATCTGCTAATACTGAAATTCTGTATTATCACAACTTAGAGCTACATACAAACATTTTAACTAAGATTTGTTCGTAGAATCAAAATTTTGATTAACCATTTGCTTAAAGCACTTATCAAGGGAAAACGTGTCACTCTGGTCCACTTGTTGTGACAGACATCGGCAAGAAACAAATTTCATTCATGTAAAATTTTTTTGGACAAATTAAACAATAGCAAGTCTTAGATAAACAAAAAACAGAACAATTACATAATGTATTTACACAATCTAAATTGCTTTTAACAATGCAACACGGGAAAACTTAAAAACACAAATCTGACAAACTTACAAAACTGTTCTTTATCTAGTTTGACTGTGACTCGAACATTTTCCTTCAAAATTTTGTCTATTACAGCTGGCTGTCAAAAAGAATTGTGAATGGTCAAAATAAAATTTAGCAATAATAAAAGTATAAAAGAAAACTCACAAGACAATATTTTAAAAACAAAATAATCCACCTCATAGGTACAGGTAATTATTGCAGAGGACAAAAAGCAAATAATGAAATTTTAAGACAGGCAAATGTAGTTTTCCATTCTTTTCACAAAATGCAAACACATAAAAACATTATTTTTAACAGAAAAATCAACAACAAAATTTTATGATTTAAACAAAAAAGTTATTAAAACAAGTCTAAAAAATTTAAAAAACCTAAAAATGTACACTAATAGCAAAGCCTAGTTTACATTGAATACAAAATTATTTTTAAGCCAAGACTTTTTTTTTTTAAAGAAAGAAAGGGTTCATTAATGCACTCGTAAAATGGGGAAGTCACAGTTTCAATCACCTGCTCTTTTAAGCTATCATTTCAGTTTTCTTCTTCCAATACACAACTAAAATTTAAATAATAATGGTACAACGAATACAAAGTACTTAATAAACAGAAAATTATGACTGTATATGGAAGTAAGTCTTGAAAGTTATAATTTCAAACGCATTTCTTCACAATTACTATCTGAACTTTTTAAAATTACTTTGTTTTATAAATTACTTTATTTAACTTATACCATTTTAAAAATTATATTTTCTGCCTAATAATCTTAACACACATTTCACCATAAAGCATTTAAGTTCTTAGTATCTTATACCATAAAAATTTTAAAAACAAGAGATTATATGTGTTTAGATTTGATCTGCTGATAATTTTATTACAATGTCATAAAACAATTTAGCTTCCATCAGGATCCTGAAAGTATTTCAAAAATTACATTAATTCATTCTTCAATTCTTATTTTTCTTTTTTTGTTTAAAATTTTGTTTAGGCTAATGTTGAACTAACAAACATTTAATACTATTTGATTTATAATTAAAAGTACACATACCAGTGAATGAGAAGAGTAATTTTGCAGTATAGTAGGGCTCAATTAACCTAACTTTCAATGGACCAGGAATTCAAACTAGTCAGATAATATAGTTTTTTTTTAAAGTGAGAAATAAAATTTGCAAGAATATTGCAATAATCATAAAACAATATTGAACATTTAACTCTTTTGTTAGTGTGTAATTTTCAGGACAAAAATTCAGTTTATCTGAAGCAATTACCAAAATTACAAAATTTTTATGTTAGCAGAGGTGCCAACATGAATGGTAAAATATCCAGTAGATTTTTTTGAAATAATATAAATTTCATAATTGCTGTTAAATGTATTAAATATTTTATGCATGGGAAATTTTAAGGATTTTTATAGTCATCAAAATAGAAAAAGTACATTTTCTTGTTGTGATTAATATTAAATGAACTTGAAATGTTAAGCATTGTTTACTCATAATTTTGAATAGAAATAGGCATTTAATTTATGAAAGATAGTTAAAAGCTATTTTAATTAATTAAAAAAGGGAGTTCTGAATAAACATAAATTCAAAATTCCAGTACAACAAAGTTTTAAACTGATTTCTATAAATGATGCTCGCTTCATTACAAATTAATAACACTTATTTAAATATTCAAGCAAGCAATAATCTGTGCAAAAATTCTAATTCAATAGGGAATTTTTTAAAAGAAATTTACTCAATTTTAAGGAATTTTTAAAAATTTACAAAAACCAGGAGAATTTTTAGTAATCCAGTAGATCTGGAGAAACTGGCAAAACTCCAGTAGAGTTGGCAGCTATGTGTTAGTAACATATTTTTTTAAAGCTGAATCACATAACCAAACAATGTGTAATTTAAGGATTACACATCCAGGAGTCTGTTTAGAAGAAATTTGGGTTCGCTAAAGGACCCTTCACAAAATATCTTTTCATAAAAACGGACCCTTCATAAAATATTTTATCTTAAAAACTTTCTTCCCTTCACATATTGATTTTTCTTTTAATTGGACCCTTTACTAAATTGTTTATCTTCATTATTGTTTTGTTAATTGAATAAACCCTTCCCAAGGCAGAAAACTAGAAAGATGGATGTAAACGAATTAAGTTTTGTCTTCTGCAGATGATTCTTCCATTATTCGACCAAAATTAGTATTCTGCGTTCAGCAGTATAGGCTGAATACCAAATATTTGTACGCTGCATCTCTAATTTAGAAGCAGCAATTGCTCTTTATTTTTTAAAAAAAAAATTTTTTTTATTATAATTTTACAGTGCTCAGCATAATCTTGTATGTATTTACAATTTAAAAACTCCTTGAAAAAGTTTTTTTTTACCCTATTCGCACAAATTCATAAAAGCAGGATCCTGGTTGAAAGAATGTGAGTAATTTTTTCATTATTGTTAGAAAACCGGACCTTTCACAAAATGTCTCGACAGACCCCTGACATCATCATTAATAAATACATAATTTATTAATTCTACACTCTAGTTAAATCATTCCAAACTTCCTTTGCAGCCTTTACTAATGTAATTAATTCATGAAAAAACCCATTACATTTGTAATTAATACAATTTATGAATCTATATATTTGTTTATTGAAGTGATTTATTAACCCCACTTTGCAATTCATATTGATATATTTTTTGAATTTTACATGATAATTTAAGTTTTAATATAAATTAAATTTTTTTGAATAAAGTTGCATTTGCATTAATCTTAGCTCATTTTTAATATCCTTAGATATAGTTAAATAACGAAATAAAGCAAAGGTAGATGAAAAAGAAGTGTATCTATACATCAAAATATTTAGTTTCAATATACCTTTTGCAAACCTATATTTATGTATGATCCTTTGCCTTGTTTAACTGGCTTGTTTAAAACTATCCCTTCACGATACTCAGACTCATCATTAACTGATAAATGTGATGGAAGTTGAAGTGGATGTATTTCACCTAAAATAAAATTTTTAAAGCCAAACTATAATATGCTAATAGATAAAGAAAACAGATTTTATAAAAGCTAAAATACAGGTTATTTGCAGAATTTACTCTGGCAAAGTTTCCCCAATTGGCATCCAGTGGCATGTAAAGGTGAGAGGATGAGGATATAAAATGCAAAAGCCCTGATTAAAGGCTCTTTTAAATGGAGTACAATCATAGGGATCAAGAAAGCCAACTCTATTTAAAAACTTGAAAGAAAATAAAGAGTTACCAAAATCTATTTTTTATTCTATTTTCATTACTTCTGATTACACAAATGCAGTTACCAAGCACAAACTAAACAAAACAACATAATTCTTGATATTGATTGTCGTAGAAACCTCTCGTCCACAACAGTAAGACTCCGTTTGGGCCATTTCAAGTACATGAAAATTTCTTCCCATAAAACCTGATAATACCCTATGTGCAGAAATTGCCCCCAAACCCAATAAATACCAGAGCAGATTCTCAACTGTCTAGACTTTCAGGCTAGACTTTTGAGCTTGGCTCACCACCTGAGGACATGCTACACAGTCTTCAGGTCCAGAACTCACAAAACTCATTCTCCAAACTTTTGGAAATATTCAGCAATGCCACAGACAAGTAAACGACAATTAAATCCCATGAAGCAGATCAAACAAAATTGATTCTATGCTTTTGTTATCTATCAGCACAAAGTCAGCTAAAAATTATATGAACTGTATACAAAGAAACATTAATTAGTAATCACTTTAGATTACAAAAAAGTACTGCTGCTGCAATGAGTTGTTTCAAATTTTTTCTAATTCTCATAATACAAAAACTTACAGAAAAATTTTCCACTTTCCCGGAGAAATGTTTAAAGAACATTCTAATCTGAAAATGCCACTGACGTGAACTAGCTGAAGTAATTTTATGTGAAAGTTGAAGTTTTAGAGTCCATTTTGCGATTTACCAAAAACTATTTTAGCAGTAGAATTTTTTTGCAACCATTTGAGATTTTATCAAAAGTATTGTAAGCATTTTGGTAAATTATTTTAGAAATTTACTTTTGAATGTGAAAAATTAAATGTCAAAACACATTGTAATCTTTTTCCAAGGATATTCACTTATATATTTCCCAAACAGTTAACAAAAACCAATTTTTATTTATTCATTAATTTTTTTACCCTTTTTTGGAAAATAATGTGGCAATAAAGCCAGATAAGTTTTTTAAAAAAAAATGGATTTATTTTAATCAGAAATTCAATGTTAATATTTATTTCAGATAATAAAGAATTTTAATTTTTCAACCGAATGGAGCAAGACATTGGTGTTAATTACATGTCCTCTAGAAAGTGAAAAATCAGTTGTTTCTGCCAGAGCATTTTCTTTATTATTGCTCTGTTATTATTTCTCAAAAGCATACATCAAATATTGTAAATCATGTTTTTGATAATTTAATGGTATGGTTAAAAAATGGTTGTAATATAAATTTTAGACTATAAAAAAAAATATTAAATTTGTAAGGATTTCTAAGTTACAAATCGTAATTTTGTGCCCGAAGAACTAATATCAATCCACTCCTATGTTTAAATTTTTTGAAACTTTATCTGTAGGGGTGATTGTGAACAAAACTCAAAAATCCTGAAAATTTCTTGAGTAAAATCATAAATGACGCATTTCAAAAAATTAACGTCTTTATAAATTTAAATCATCAATATTTCACAACATGAAATTGTAAAAAAATTATATGCAGTACAATTTAAATTAATAATTATGTATAAGTTTACTTTTATCTCTAATCACATCTATCATTCTACCAGAAAAAATATTTACAAATGAAAGAGATGCCAAGCATAAACTCTAGTTCTAATATTTCTTTAAATAAATTATACAAAAATTTTTATTCAAAAATGTGATCACTGATTCCTTGAAACTTCTGGACCTTGGACTTCCGGAACGCGGTTAGATGCACAATTATTTCTGCATCTGTGATCAGCTTTAATATGAGTAGGAGAGGCAAAATGCACAGTCAAAGCGATCCAGAAAAAAACTTTGCATGCAGTTTCCGAGATTAACATGTGATCAAAGTGAGAGAATTCACTTTTTCACAATTAGTAATACACATTTAATCTATTTTTCAACCAGTAAAACTCTTTTTTCATAAGAAATAAAAAAGCAATTAAAAAATAGTATCATAATTATGAAATAATATAATAATTATGAAAGTAAAGCATTACAATTATTGCGACAATACCTGTATGCTCCAAATCTTTATGAAGAGGAAAGTAAAACTTTCGTAGATACGGAGGACACTCCAAAAACTGCAGAATTCTAACCATCTGCAAGCATCCATGATTCTTTTTATGTAACTTCAAGTTATCATCAGTGTCTTCAAATCTATAAAAAACTTTAAATTATTAAATTCTGACGAAATGAAAAAGTAGTCTTCTAAAGAAAATTATATAATCTGGAAAAAATTTTCAGTACAAGTTTTAGTACAGTACAGAACCCGTTATCCGGAAATCAGAAAACCGGAAAACCAAAAAACCGGAACGAAATTCGATAAGTTTTCCCGCCATTTAAAAAAAATTTTTTTTTCTCATAAGATTTTAGGATTTTTCTGTCTTTTTTAAAGATATTTACCTTACCATCATTTTGGAAATAATTATTAGTGTATTACTTCATCGTTTTTTCTTCTTTTTAAGATTATTTCCAATTTTTATTTTTAGTTGGGTTTAACAATAAAAAAAAAACGGCTTTTTGTAGCGATTCAGAAAACCGGAAAAATCAGTTATCCGGAATACCGATGGTCCCGATCGTTCCGGATAATCGGTTCCTCACTGTAATTAATCAACACTTTCTGCCTTAATGAAAATATATATATAAACAGTGAAACATCACATTACGGACACTTCTTTAAAATGGATACCTCTCATAAGGGACCTTTTTATAATTCCCTGTGAATCTCCTGTGAATAAACTGTTATGCACCCTCTCCACCAAGCAAACACCCTTGTAACTGGATGTGACATTTATTCCCTTTTCAATCACCTCAAATCAAACACCATTTTTCCTAAATTAGAAAAAAAAAACTATTTCTACTTCATCTTCCCACCAATTTTTTAAAGCCTGTAAATTTTTTGCTTTATTCACAATGTTATATGTTAAGCTATTTCACCATCTAGCAACCATTTTCTAGTCACTTTTTTTTTTTTTTTTATCTTTGCAAAGAAAGAAGAAAAATGATACTGTTTTAGTGAAATATTTAAGGCAGCAGCAATTTTTTTTCTCTTTTTCTGGGCAACACAAGTTATGAGACACCACAAGGTAAAACAACAGATTAAATCCACTCAACTCCTCTTCCCTACTGAAAATTCCTCTCTTCTTCTAATTAATTTGACCATTGTACCTGGGTTTAAAAAGAAAATCTCATCATCAAGGTACTCATAGGAATCAAAAATTTATTCTGACTCTTGACGAATAACAGAGTTGCTGTGAATATAACAACACCACAGAATTGGTGCCTTACAAGTAGGTATGTTCTTTTTTTTCTATGCAAAGCGGGAGGCATAGCCACGTTTCCTGTCAAGCGATGGGTATGTGTTAGGGAAGGCTAATTGGTCAAACTGAATTCAACCAAAAAATGATGAAATTGGTGCAAAACTGCTAATGGATTTAAAAATGTACCATGAATATATAGCAAGTTGCAGCCATATAAAATAAATATAAAAAGGTAGATATATATGTCAAATTTCTTCATCTATTCTTTTTATTCTGAAAATATAATTTTGATAAGTGTTACTAAATATCAATGCAAATTTTCATTATAGATCATTTAATTGTTTCTATATCATTGCAATTATTGTAAAAACAATTCATGGCAACAGCTTTCATAATTAGCGGACATTGTTTCGTATCCCAAGAATGCTCGCTTAACAGAGGTTTCACTGCATACGTATCTATCTTGCATACAAAATTCTAAGCTAGGATGTGGACTTTTTGCTTTAATTTCCTGGTTTGGTTCAATGTTAAAAGGATCATAATTACATATAGTACAAGTTTCATAAAAATGCATTAAGATTTGGTTTATAAACCAGATTTCTTTTTTCTTTTTTTTTTTTGACAATTTGTTTTTGATGTACAAGCGTAGCTCAAACTAAATAAAATCAGAAAAATATTTGGCTAAAAGAACATTTATAACAAACGGACAAAAAAATTACTGTAGCATATTTTCTAACTTTTTTTTCAACGTAACAAACATGTAAACTAAATTATGTTTTAAAACAGTCTCTCTTGATTAGATGTGTAAGCAAACAAGGTATTAAGTGTAAAAACACAAGTAACAGACATACAATTTGATGTCAAATTTGTTATAAAATATATAGATTTCATCAGTAATCTCTCAATTCAATTATTCACTTTTCATTATTTTAGCTACTAGATGGTACTGTTTAATTATGAAATGTAAAACTTTTATTTTCACTATCTATCCTTCTTGTTAAGAGCATTAGCTTGCCTACTTGTAAATTATGCCTATTTAATATTAAAGTCTTATCTTAAAAAACTACTGAATTGAGTAAGTCGAACCAGGTATGACAGCACTATTGGAGTAAACACAAGTGAAGACAAACACAAGTGACCATGCACCAACCCAAGGTAAGCAATATTTTCTCTGCTACCTTTTATTCGCTAAGTATGTGATTTTCAACAAAATTGTATTTGAATGAAGTTGGGTATAACATGCTGAGATGCCGGAGGTACAGTGGCGCTCACATACGTAAGGACTGTGTTTTCAAAATAAATGCGCCATTATATTAGATGAATATTATGTTTTAATCAAGATATCTATAATGACGAATTCTACCTTAGTTGAACTTCAATCCTCAAATTATTCATTCGCGTTTACAAGTGTTTCAAAAAGTTTATTTAAAAAATATAGTATTTTGTTAAGTTTCTTATACTTAAGGACAGTTTGTCTAATCATGAGTTATTGGATGATTACAATCAATTTATCGATAAATGTAAGTGTAATTTACTACATCATCTTTGTTTGATGCTTTAAAAGATTACATTAATATATTTGTTTTCTTTTTTTTAGCACAAATTTCAACATTATTATGAGTAAAGAAAAAAATGTTAGCAATGAACAGAGATGTGGAATAGATACTCTGAGAAAAGAAGGTTTAAGCATTAGAGAAATTGGTAGGTGGTTAAAATTATCAAAAATAGCAGTTTTCCAAGCACTGAAATCAATTCAAGTGACCAAAAGTATTGAAAAAGCATCCCGAAAACCATGTCCTCGCAAAACTACCGAACAAGAAGATCGAATTATTCATCGAATTTCTGAAGCTGATCGGCACAAAACCGCCCCGAACATCAGAAAAGAATTCACTGAATTAACAGGCAAGCACGTAAGCCATAATACCATCAAACGGCGTTTAAAATGAGTTTCAGTTTATGGGTCGCGTATGTAGGAAAAAACCGTTGATGTCAAAGAAGAATATAGCAGCTCGATTAGCTTTTGCAAAAAGACACCGAAACTGAACATAGGCTGACTGGAATCGAGTTATATTTACAGACGAATCGTTCAACAGAATGGGCACATATAAGTTTGTTTTGTGTGTTTTTATGTAATTAAAGAGTGATACCTATAAACCGTACAGATTACTAGCTAAATGCAACACACTCTTCATCCTCTCAAATAAGGAAGAAAAAGAATATTAGGATTTAGAAACTAGCCCAGGTTAAAAATTATTATTTCTAATAGTAACAAAAACAAATTAAAAACAATTAACTGAAACAATGATATGAAAATTAGTTTCCATAAATAAAAACTTAAAAATACCTTTCCAAACTGCTTTCACTGTACACAATAATTTCATTTACTCGATAAATGGCTGCACTTCTTGCAATCTAAAATAATATTAAAAAAATACTTTATTTCTAACTGTTAAATTAGTAACAGAAACCTCAATTACCTGAATATTTTTTAAACAATCTCTCAAATATTAAATTTTTTTTAGCTTATTTCTAAGTAAAATGTGATTTGTATGATTTGAAAAGTTTAAATAAAATGGTTCTAAAAATATAATAAAATAAATTATTAAACAAAAATAAACACAATGTCAATTTTGTACACTTTTCGATACAATAAAAAATTATTTATAACAAATAAACACCAAACATCAGTAAGTATGCAGGCATTATTTTTTTAATAATATTAGTTTAATATTAAATTTATGTAACAAATTGTATTTCATTATAGTAATTGCAAAGACGGTGAAGAAATGAAATTCCAAAAGAATTTAATTGAAAATAGAAGAAATGCAAACAAATTTTGGCCATGACAACCATATTTGAGTTATGATTACTTTCAATTTGCAATTAACAACAATCAATTTTTCTGTTGCAATTAACAACAGAAAAATTATTTTTAACAAAGGAATCCCATATAAAATAGAAAATGTTTGATGAAAAAATAATCCAACAGTAAAAGTCGAGCATAAACATTGAGGAAATTTATCAAGATTTGCTTTTTCTTAGTTAATGATAGATTATTTAAAATATTTTGTTTAAATTTATGTATTAATTTAGAATTTTTTTTTCTTTCTTAACTATAATTGAGTTTTTAAAAATCTAAGCAATTTCAATAAGCAACACTGGTTGATAAAGTGCCAAAAGAACTCTAAAGCAAAGGAACAATCTGATAACATAAGTGACAAAGTTCTCCCTAGGAATTAAGGGAAAGAGTGCTTCCTCACTGAAAAGGGCACTATGAGTTTTGAAAGGGCGCACTCATTTAAAACCATTAAAACTTTTCAAAATGTGTAATATTATATAATAACTGAATTTGATCCTCAAAAATTTTAAATTACCCTCTTATACTATTTTATGTGTGTATTTCAAAAAAGTAATTCATACTTATTATCAAAATAAAAGAATAATTTGATGTTTATAAAAAATAATTAAAAGCATGCTAAAAAACAATCACTGTGTCCAAATATTTTTTCAAAAAAAGTAAACTAAAAAAAAATATTAATTGATAAATAGCGTAAAAGCTTTATTCTATAATCTAAACGGAAAATTATAAAAAAATAAATATAAAGACGAATTTTTTTAAAAGGCATTTATTTAAAAAATAATTTTAAAACTTAAAATCACTGAAATTTGTTAATATACCTTCAGCCTCCCCCCCAAAAAAAAGAAACTTAGAAAAATTTAGCCGGTTGAAAAAAATCCTAACAAAATAAATATTTGTAACAGAAATAAGAATTAAACATATAAACACACATAATTTTACCAGTGTGCAATTATCATTTAAACTGCTCGTTAATATTTTAAAAAGGAATATGAATAAAAGACCATGATTTTAAGACATGGCTGTTCATTTTTACAAAAAGGACAAAGAGAGCCCATCAAACAGCATGCGGGCTACACATCTAAAAACACTTATAGAGAACACTGAAGTGAAGAATAAAGAATAGAATGTTAAAAAGACTATTATTATTAAGATTTGCTTAATTTTAATTCTTGAGTTACTTCATAATAAATTACTTAAAAACTTTTGCTTAGATTTATTTTCTGATTTATAAATTTTCTTTTTCATATTTCTAAAATCTGTAATTGAGATTACAAACACATAAGCAACTTCATCCTTTGAAGTGGGTAAGATTTTATAAAAAATCAGAACATGGTTAAAAAAAGAAGAAAAAAAATCAGAACATCTTTTGGCGCAATACATACAACTATTTCTAGAAGGGAAAATGAAAAGCTTAAAAAATAGTGCTTAGGAACTGCACTTAAAAAATTTTGTTTAATGTGGTATATTTTTTTCATTCTCCATTAAAAAAACAAACAAACAGATACATGCTTAACATTTTCAAATAAAAAGATGAACCAAATTAATATTAAGAAAGTGTTAAAGCATGCATGCGTACATAAGTTGAGAAATCTCTGAATCTGATATTTCTTGATTTTGAAAATAGATTCCTCAATATAAAGATAGATCAAACGATAGAAAGAAAAGTCATAGTTATTCCAAAATAAATTGTATTTAATCGCTATACTAAAGAATAAATATATAAAAAAATGAAAGAAAAATATAATACATTATCTAAAAACAAAGATAATCAAAATATAAAGGAAAAAAAACAAGAAATTAAGCCATCACTTAAAGTAAGTGGATATATAAAAGTACTTTCAATTTTGCAATAATCGAAATTAAATGGAATGCAATGAAAATTCTCTACAATTTTATGGGCAAGAGAAAAAATATTAACAAGTTTGTCTTTAACATCCAATAAGCAGTCAGACAAATAAAGAAAAAAACTTATAAGTGAGCGGTCTATAAATGTCAACTAGTGTTTGCTTGTGATTTTTAAGAATCATAAGTTTTATTGTATTTTTAAATAGAATAAAAATTAAAAAATGACTAAGTTTTGAAGTACATAAAATAGTAATCCGAGAATTTAGTGACTATTTTCACAACTTATATAAATAAAATAATAAAAATATTCATTAAAAGGATTGACTGCTGAAAAAAAGGGATTGACGTTTGAAAAATGGTATGAAATAATTATATTTCATACATACATTAGCAACTAAATGTGCTTTCAAACTCGGAGTTTGGGCATTATCCATAATCGATCCTGGAACTGCAATGCTAACTGTATACCAAGGCTTTTCAATTTTATCTTCTTCTATAGGTTCTTCTTTTTCCTTTGATTGTAATTTGGCTTGCTTCTTCAACATTTTTTCTTCCTTCCATTTACGATATTCCTCCTTCTCTGAAAGAAAAAAAAAGCAGTAAGCATCTTAATCAGGAATACAAAACAACCAATGTCATGTAGGCCAAATGTAGCCCACCAAAGCTCTTTGACTTCCTCCAAAGCTCTTTCCTGGAACAATCGAAAGTAATAATAAAGTTTAAAAGAAAGAAGAAGAAAAAAAAAATTTCAGCCGGGCTCTATAACAAAAAGTAACCAATCTAGAGTAAATTCTCTGTCAAAGTATCAGTATGTGACCAGTTTGATATGAAGGTCCATTTATGCAATGGTATAAACTAAAAGAGAAGAAAAGAAAATTTTGAAAGTCTGTAACATTAATAATAAAAATATAATTTCAAAATTCAAGCACTAATCATCATATTAATTCAATACTATATTAGTGACATATTTTGAATAGTGAAATTTTTAGGATAAACATAAACTTATGTAACTTTTAATATTATATGCCCATTAATTTATAATAATTTCGAAAGGCACTAATCAAGCTAAAGTATATTTAGTTAAATAAGTGTCATTTATAACTGAAAAGAGAAAAAATATCAGAAATAATATTTTATACATAATAACATAGACTAAAAATAATTTTCAGTAGTTAAGGTTATCTAAAGTTCTAGATTTCTGATGCTGTAATATTTTTTCTTAAAGTAAAAAAGAGAGCTATAAAAAGGCACGTAGGCAGGGTGTGCCACCTATCTAAAAATAGTTAAGGAGAAAACTGGCAGTTTACTAAAGCTAATTCAACTGTTATGGATATTTATGATTTATACAGAACTGTAGTTGAATAATTGAACCTATAATTTTCACAAATAAATTCTTCAGTAACTTTAAAATATGTTATTAATAAAAGTTTTAAAAATAACAGAAAAAAAATTATCTTACACCATCTTATTAAGCTATGGAGATTCTACAAATTACAAACATACAATAGCTCATTTGTTTCAAACTGAAATAAATACGAAATAAGGAAACTAATCTTTGCTGATCCAAGTACTTTGCTTCCAAGTACCAAAATTTCTAATAGATTGAACACCTCAAATTATGATTTGTTTATTTAAATCATGACTTAAATCAAGTGATTCTGTTAGAAAAAACTATTTCATTTTAAAAAGAATTATTTAAAGAACTATTTGATCTTAATTAATTTCATGAAAGTTCTGGGACTGAAGAAGGAGGTGAAATGACACTAAATCAGCCCTCAACTTAACTTTTCTGTTAACTGAGAGCCGATAAAAGTGTATTTAAAAAATACATAATACAGTGTACTTTTACAATACGAAATGCAAGAACACAATTACAATAAAAATTAAAGTTATTATTGAAGTTACATCAAACTACTTACTTTTCGATTTCCATTCTCTCCAACTCATACCCTGAAAAAAGTTTTTAAAAAAAAATTTAAAGTTTTTAATTAAAGCAAAATCAATTTTTTTTTGTTTATATGATTTACAACAAATATAAAAGGAAGGAAAAAATTACTTACAGGTGCTACAGACTCCTTAGAAAACGCATTTTTTAATGATTCCTTGTTTCCATTTTTCTTAAACGAATTTTCGACACTCATTTTATATAATTCTTAGCAGAAAAAAGCGAGAACACGCACAAAAAAAGTAAACAAAAGTATACCATGCGTAGTGGTGATGGATTGATTGTAAATTATTGATTGATGGAACATTACAAATGTGCGACAAGACATTTTGAAAAATATTCTATGCTTTTAGCTTTCTGCTAAGCCCTTTGCCAGCATTAACTGTAACCATCGAAATTATTGTTGCTTAGCAACCAAAATGATGTTTACTTATCAAATAGATATTATAAATAAGAGTCCACTTCATTAAAAATGAAATTCATTCTGTTGTAACTCACATCAATTTATTAATTGTTGTAAAAATGAACAGGAGCTACAGCTTCTACGGATAAAGTCAATTAATATAAGTTTCAGCGAATAATAATTAAAAAAAAACTAATTCTCGGCGACTTCATCTTAGAAGTGCAAGGTTTACAAGTAATTAAAATTCTGCATATCTGACATTTTTTAAAAAAAAAAAAAAGTTTGAAACAAAAAGTTTATAAAATGTTTTTATTTCTTTATAATATTTTAGTTCATTGCATAAAAATTTTATTCTTGAATAGTTGTGCATATTAACGGTTAAAACAGCAAATTTAAGTTATTTAAATGTATTCTAAAAACAAAACTGGGGCTCTAGTTTTTCGCTGAGTTAATAAGAAAATGTTTTACAAATGAAATCAAAATAGATTTTATTTTACTTTAGATTTTAGTTGACTTTTTTAATACTTTTTCCATACAAATTTATGAGTTGTTTTTCGTTTAAATCCTTTACAATATTTTTGCTTATGTTTACAAATAATATTTTTTTTCTTTTGAACGTCATCATAAATAAGGAATTCAAATTAACGGAATGATTAATTGGTAATATTGGATGACAATAATTATTAATATTTATTTTAAATATAATAAATTATTTTAATTATCGATAAATTATTAAGATTATCAAAAATTTTATATAATTTTATTTATTCAAAAAAAGGATTTTTTTTCTTTTTGAAGACAATGAAAGTTAATCAACGAGTGTATATTTTGTGCACTCAGCATTTCATTAACTTTCATATTTAAACAATTTGTTATTGTTTCCAGTGTAGCGACAAAATTGAATTTTGGAAAATATTTTATAACGTGTTAACATGTATAAGAAAATGAATATAAATATCTCCCCTAGTTTCAGGTTAATTAAAGGTCATGTTGATTAAAGATCTGGTTAATTAACCAGGTCAAACTAAAAAAACAAAAACATGCATATTAATTGCTAAATTTAACATTAAAAAAAATCATAAAATTCTTTATTAAATCATATTAAAATTCCAGTATTTTTTCTGGAATTAAAAATACTCAATTTGCTACATAGAAATGTCTTTGATATTGATGCCATATTTAAATTTGAATTATTACGTTATAGATACTTAAAATATTACTACTTTATTCGCTACTTTTCAGTTATCGCAGTGCAAACGAAAATTTGCCAAAAATTGTAGACCTCCGCTAACTTTTTTTTCCTCCAATTTTTTAAATTTATTTTTCTAAACACATAAAAATTTAAGAATATAAAAAAAAAATTAAAAAGAATAGTTTAATTTCTTTGCTTTCGTCAAACCAAAAAATTTCCTTTATTTTATATAGTTAATTGTATGCAAAAAATACTATTGATGAAAATTGTCCGAAATAGTAACTTTAACACTATTTTAAATGTGTCAATCTAAACTTAGTTTTATATGAAACTAGAAAACAAAATATTTTTTTTTACCAGTTTGGTGTTTCAAGAATTAATTCTACTTTTAATTTATATCTTAAAGTACGATAATTTAATATCATTATCATCATTATCATTACTTATGGAATTTTTTAGGTGTCAGGCCACTCTAGAGTATAAGTATTTTTTAAGAATTTTTTTCATCGACACAATAGATAAATCAATGTTCGGAAAAGTCATCTGTTATGTAATGAGTTAACTGTGAAAATTTATTTATTTGAAGTATAATGTTGATATTTTGTTTTGTATTGCAAAATGATACAAAATTTACAGTAAAGTTTTCTTGATTGAATGTGCATGACCGAGCAGTTCTATCTTCAGTTTTCAATTTAAGATGAGCAGCAAAAATTTTTTATTATGTATATAGTATAGCAACAAAGGAAAGCAGAAATTTGTCAAAAACTAATTTTCTTAGATAGAGACATTTAAAAAATACTGCTAGAAAAATTGCACTTAACAAAACAAAACAAAAATCCTACGTATTTATGTAAAGATTGCAACTTTAAATAATAAAAAAAAGTTTGCAGTCAGGCGATGAAGAATTTCTCATTATGAAACTGATAGACTCAGACAAGGTAGCCTCTACCTCGAAGAAAGCGTTTTTAAAAAACATATTATGTTGCTACAGAAGAACTAAGAATGAGTAATTCCTGTACTTCGTTATATTTTCTACTCTTATTCCTTTGAGTATATTTATGACATTAAGACAATTTTGAATAATTAAGAAAGAACGAAAGGAAGACTGATTTTTACAAAATCTTTAAATGATCTAACCTCTTGAAAAGGTATGTCCTATTCAAACAGCATTTGCAGAGCTGCCAACTTTCGACTTTTTGTGGGAAAATTTCTTTGACTGATGACAAAGTCTATGATTTGATGTACAATTCTTCGTTTACTGAATTTGATTTAAAGTTATTTTTCACATCACCACATGGAAATGATATAAATGTTTTTATAAAAGCCCTTTTGTATCATAGCCGTCGTTGTTAAGGATTTTAAATTGTTGAGAAAATTCTAAAAGATTTTGTTTTTGATTGTCTGTCACAGCGGTTCCCAAATTTTTTCGCAGTGGAACTTTAAATGATTTACCTTATGTCGGCAAAGCCTTGAGACTATATGAATAAATTTCATTAGGGATTGTTAACATATTAACTAACAAAAACTATTAATTATACTGAAATTATGTTCTGATTATTTCGTTAATATCTAGTGAATTAATGGCGAACGAAATTTTTTCATCTTATCGTTTTAACAAGAATAGTCTTAAAACTTGAGTTCATGTCAGACGGTTGAATTCTGAGGTCTAAAGCGGCATATAATCTGGTTCTTATTTTGATTTTAGTGTGTGAAAATAAATTAGCTAAAATGTGGTTTCCGTTAAAATGAAAAACGAAAAAAAGGAAAATAACCGTACAGAATGTTTAACACAGAAACATTCTTCATCATTGTTGGGTTTGGTTAATTTTTTCCGTTCATTTTTCATGAATGCATATCCTATTTCCAATTCATTCATTACATTGTTATTAGAAAAAAAAGAAAACATTGTTTCGGTTTTTTTTTCTTCAAAAACATTTTAATTAAATATATTTCATAAAAATATCGGAAATTTTAATTAAATAAATAATGAATTACTAATTCGATGCAAATACAGTTATAGATTTTCATAAACTAGAAAATCATAACTGGTTTAAAAAAATAAAGTCCTAACACCATTTAGGAACTGTTGGTCAACCATATGTCTATATAAAATATTTTGCAGAAAGGGTAGTTGGCAGTAATAATAGCTTTCATTGTCCCATTTGTTTCACGCAACTCAGGTTTGACTGCTTTTTTTTTAATTAAAATTTTATTTTTCTATTACATATTTTGATTTAAATAGAATTCTTGTGGTTTTTTTTTGGGTAAAAAGCTAAAAAAAAGGCAAAACTAAGCGATTTCTTGTTTTAGTCAGTTCGTAAACACCGCATAATAATTCGAAATCGTATCATAATAAAGAAAAATCAAGTTTTTCTAAAATTTCTCCTTTAATGTTAACATTTCAATTATTCCTTCTCCTGCTTGAAACTACTTTTTTCTTCAAGTTGCTACGATCAATGGTTTGCCGATACTTTAATTTTACTTTGAAATTATGCACTCGAAGCTAATATAGCTTTAAAATTTGAATAAATTAGAAGAATTTTGTGTGCAACTATATAAATATAATTAAAAAATATATATTGCAAAAAAAATGAATTCTAGATCCAAAAGTTATTTAGATCCAAAAGTTATAAAATTTTAGTTCCCTCTTGGACCACCCATAGCGTAAATGCAGGATACGATAAGGTCAAGCATTGAGACATGCGAATCCCTTATGATGTCCAACAGCATCTTATTCCACAGTTGATGTAAAAATACCGCGAAATCTACTGAATTTAGAGGCTGCCTAATTGGCCGTCCCAAGTTGTTCCAGAAATTCTCGCTCGGTTATATTACTACATCGGATCGATCAGGCAAGGAAAAGGTGATAATATGATAGAGGCATTCGTGGGGTACTCTTACTGTGTGCAACTGAGCATTGTTTGTTTAAAAAAATGGCTCCTGGGAGCTCCATCATGAATGGCAACACATGTGGCTGAAGGATGCCACGAACCTACCGCTGGGCTGTCATGACACCATGGATCGATACTAAGGGGGATCATGTCTCGATTGCGATAGCACTCCATACTATTACACCAGCTGTAGAAGTGATGTATACTGTACTGTGTAGCAGGCAGGATTGACATCCACCCAAACTTACTTCCTGTCACTCCCGGCAGGATTGGACTGCTGCCAAATGGAATCAGGTCGTATTCAGTGATGAAACCAGATTTGAGCCGTTATGACGACCATTGTGTACGAGTGATTGGACAGCCTGGTGAACGCTTTAAACCTGCCTACGCTGTACAATAGTATACCTCTTCTACAACTGATATAATGGTATGAAGTGCCCTCGCATGCAACACAAAAACACTCTTAATATTGATACATGGCACCATGACAGCTCAACGGCACGGTCGTGGCATCCTCTAGCCACGTGTAGAGCCACTCATGGTAGGCCTCCTAAAAGTAATTATCTACATGTGAATGCTCGGCCACACTCACACTACAAGGGCATCGCAGGAATGACTCCGTCACATTATCACCCTTCTCTGGACTGCTTGATCCCCGTATTTGTCACCGAATGCACTTGTTTGGGACTACTTGCGACAGCAAGTTGAACAGCAAGTTTTCCGAGTTTAGTCGATTAAGCAGTGTCTTTATAGCAACTGTTGAATGAAATGTCGCAAGACATCATAAGTGAATTGTATGTCTCTTTGATTTTTAATTAGTTATATTC